GTACGTTAGACCTGGTCTGGAATACTGTTCGTTTTTATTTAGCCTCATGCTTGCTACTGAGCGGAAGAAAATAGAATCCGTTCAACACTTTTTTTACCACGAAAATTTTAACCCCGGAACACCGACATTTGTCTTACCAAGAACGTTGCTGGCTTACGGACCTTGATCCTTTATGGTTCCGTAGATTACAAAAGAGACTATTTTTGCTATTTAAACTCTTATATAATCACACATTTAACCCACACACCTCTTTAAGACATCATATCCACCCACGACGTAACAGTCACCGTGAGGTCTTCTTATTTCTGCCTCTGGCACGTACTGTCAAATATCGTCGGTTCTTTTCTGTAAATGTAATTGATATTTGGAATAAACTACCCATAAGTGTGAAAAATCTGCAAAATTATGCTTTATTTAAGAGAACTATTACTCGATTTTTGCATTCAGAAAAGCTCCCACAAATTTTGGGTGCTGAATCCACTGATCGACTCTACCGTAGCGATGGCGTTTGTGGTCTCTGAACACTATGGCCGGTCTCGCCAGTTGTTCCTCAACGCCTCTACTTTGACTATCCCCAACTTTATGAAATGAATTGACGTCTGATAATCTCCGATACCGTGCAACCCCTCCCCCCCGCCCCTTCTTGACGGTCGACAATCTACCACCAGCAGTTTTTTCTCCTGAACCCTCAAAATCATGAAAACCACCATCAACTATATTTTTATTTCTTTTCCTCAGGGTTTTTTTTTCATTGCTGGTCGGATTTGTGTTTAATCGCTTCCCTTGATGATGCCTGTAAACTGGCATTACATCAATCATTATTATTATAATGGTTGAGTGTCGACGATTTGGTCTGTCCTAGGTGGTCGGTAGACAGTGAGGTCATCGAGACAAGGGGAAACAGTAGCCTTGATGGTCAACCAAATAGCTTCGGTGCCGCACGCAAACTTGATGGTGTTTTCCGACACTGCTAGGCCTTCATTCACGTACACAACTATACGACCACCCTGAGGATGTTCCCGGTCCCTCCGATACATTTGATATCCAGGCGAGGCTTCTTCGCTATCGCTAATATTCTCGGATGCCAGGTCTCGGTTACTGTTGAAACATCCAAAGACAGCTCGGCAAGGCAAAGTTTTAGCTCATCTAGTTTTAGTGTGAGACTTTGGGTATTTATGTACAGGCACCTCAGTTTTAGCCAGCCGAATTTCCGGTTGCATTTGTCACTGTTTTGAGCATTGCTACGTTATCTCGGACGCCACTTTCTCTGGGCTCCTCAGTTACTTGATAGGTTCCATTAATGTCAGTTGCTCCAGTCAGAACACTGGACGTTAAGGGCTTACTTATGTTGTCGTCCTGAGCAGGTGGTCCCACGATTGTGTCCGTGTTAGCTGAGTAGTTGCCGTCGTTATTAGTACTACTGGCTAGTTCCACTGAAACGGCATATTTTATCGAATTACTTTCCCCTTGAAGATATCCAGATTGTGTTCGCCCCCTTCAGTCTGGGTTTTTACTCCAGGACGAGTTCCCGGCGTCTCAGCCGTTAGCCTGGTGAGTAGTCCGATTTAAAAAATCTGTTTGTGTGTGTTTCTGAGGTCGGTTCTTTTGTAGAGGATCAACTTGGTTTGCTCTTTGTTCTCCAGCACAATTTTGAGAGGACTAGGTGGTAGTGCTGCTGTCCTGTCTTCACTCCCTTTTCCTATCCGGAATGCTTTCAGAGCCTTTATTTCCATGTTTGCATGGAGTAATTGGTTTAGTAAACCATGAAAAGAAGCATGGTCCTCCGAAACATGGTCTTCAGATCTGACTGCATTCGATCCAAACAAGTCCTGAATATCCAGACACTGCTGGCGGTCACGGTCCTCCTTACTTTGTCTTTCGGGTGAATTCTCTGCGTGTGGGCGAGGACGATCTACGGATTCGTCGCTTGGACGCACACCTTTGCTGTCGACCGACTGTCCCGATCAACCCATCAGGGCTGGTGAGGACGTCAGACTCCAGTTTTGGCGTCTTCCTATCCCCTACCCACGGGGTCATGATTTCGCATTCAAATACGTGCTCTGTAGTGCTCTCGGGGTGGTTGCGAGAACAAGCGGTCAACAGTAGACCTGATGACCTAGTTATATCGTCTCTTGGCAAAAGAGAAATCCCATCAATTTCAGCAAGAGGCTTAGGCAAGATGACTTCCGCGCCAGATAATGTTTTTGACATCGCTTAAGACATCTTGCGTGGGAATCGAGTTTGCCCTTATTGGCGGCTTCATTTTCGTTGTCCTGCTCTTACCGGTATCTGCGGTTGTAGCTGCTGAGTTGAAACCCGTGTTTGGAGATGCTCCCCAGGAGATATTCTTTCGCGTTTTTTGCGTTTTGCTCTTCGTTTTTGGGACTCTAACACTGGGGACGTTTGGGTCATCGGGGGTCTGTTTCACGAGCGTCCTTAAATCAGCAAACCCCTTTTCGAGTTGTTCTACTTTGATTTGGATATATGCGCACCCAACACAAGGCTTGTCTTCGTACCTCACACTTTTCGCTCTAATTACGCTTTTGGCAGGCTTTGCCGGTTGTTGGCTGGAAACGCAGGTAGAGCAACCATAGGTTCTTGATGCGGAGGACATCTCACCAGACTTATCTTCCACCGAGGTGCAGTGGATGGCCGTACTATTATAGATAGATTCTTGAGTCCCCATAAATTTCGACATGATATCATAGGTGTAATTTCGCTTTCGACGTTTTATCGAATACGTGGATTGTATATGACGAAGATAGTGTATTTCTCGTAAATGGCTTCTTCCCTGACCATTGGAAAACTTCTATTATTATTCCAGTAGTTAAGTCTGGCTGTCATTCTGAGGTACAGAACTATCGAGGTGTCCATAAAATACTCTCTCTCTCTCTCGCCAAAACCTTTGGAAAAATTATCGTCTTAAAAATTACCGACGTTTGTATAGCCAATCAAGTTATTAGCCCTTCTCAGCACGGTTTTTTACCAGATCGATCTTGTGAAACATGTCATCTGTCGTTTCTCAATCTACTTACCTCTTTTCGTAATGACCATCTATCTGTTGTCGTTATTTATTTTGATCTTAATAAAGCCTTTGATAAAGTACCACATAAAAGGCTCTTGGTTAAATTTGAAGCTATGGGAATTCGCAGTCCACTAATAGACTTTCTTAGGTCATATCTGTCTAATCGTAAACAAAAGGTTTTAGTGGGATGTTCATTTTCCAGTGAAAGCCCCATTGTAAGTGGTGTCTTAAATGGCACCGTTTTAGGTCCTCTTTTGTTCTTGCTTTACATTAATGATATCTCGGCAGCAGTTAAACATTCTCAATCATTTATTTATACCGATGATCATAAATGTGTATATTCTTTCAAAAAATCTACGAGCATTCATTGCCTGGAGCAAATCCATGCTGACTTGCTTGCTCTCTCAGCTTAGAGCTCAAAATGGCTAATGGAATTCTCTCCGTCTAAATCTCACTATAGGTGTTTTGGACCTGATAGGCTACCCCAACCAGTGGTCTTTCAAGGCACACCTATGAGTGAATGTACCACCATCAAGGATTCAGGTTTAAGCTTCACAAATAATCTTGATCTCTCGCCACACGCTGACCGAATTACAGCCAAAGCTGCCCAGATTTGTGGCTTTAATTCTTACGATTTCTATCTTTCCGAAATTAAATTAAGAATTTGTCGTATGTTTGTACTTCCCATTCTCGAGTATTGTTGCCCATTCTTTGGTTTGATGAATGAAGCCAGTCGTTTAAAAATTGGAAATGTCCAAAGACGTTTTTCAAAAAAACTTTTGGATAGGGAACATCCCAATATCGCCTACTCAGATAGATTCCAGGTAATTAACCTAAAATTTTTATGGGTTCGAAGACTAGAAGCAGGCGTCTGTCTCCTCTTTCGCATTAATCATAGTTCAAATTTTTCTCGGATTTCAACACTCACCCCTAGTAGTCGCCCATACAATCTACGCTATTCGTCCTTGATTATACATCCTCCAGCGTCCTCCACCTCTAAGCGCGCCCTTTTTTCGCTTCCAGATATACTTTCCTCTGGAATATACTAGTAGACTGGTCGCATCTCCCTTGCCCCCTCCTCGGCTGGACTCGAAACTGACTTTCCTATCGCCTAAAGACTTGTTTTCTATTCGCCACTTTGGCATTAGTGGCCTCATCCGGTTTATGAATTCTGCCTTTATGATGCCCGTTTCGAACCTTTTACTCTATGCCACATGCAGGCCAGTCCTGCCTGATTCTCCTACTTACCCCTTGATTCAATATGTTATACACTACCACATACAGGCCGGTTCTGCCTGCTTGTTATACATTCATTAACGGCAGTTTTTTCTCCTATAAATATAATCACGTCATATTCATTTTGTCTACATTTTAGGAGTTTTTTCACTGCTCACTCATCATTCTTCGTAACATACTACTTATTCGATAACTATGAACTAAATGTTGTATAGATTGTGTATACCTGTTCTAAAATTCTAAAATTCATGTAAAAGTTATTCTCACTTGCTATGAATGGATCCCCGCGGGTCTTGAATAAACATTATTATTATTATGACGGTCAAGAAGCCGGTGGTAGCACTGTGCTTTGGAGACTACCGGGGCACAGTGCTCCAACAGACTGAGACTCTTGGGGTTCAACATGCCCAGATCCTTAATAACAACAGTAATTTTTCACTGGAGACCCGCCAGGGTCCCATCAGAGCAAGTAGAGATAAACTTGTATGCGAATCTTAGACGGGGTAAGCAGAATCTCCACAATATGCAATTCATAGTTCCTGGATTTGTAGTTCGTAAAGAAAAGTGATGAGCGAGCGATGAGAAAACTCCACGTAAGGATTTAAAAATGATTGGATTAATTTTGCAGGAGAAAAAAAACGCTGGCTATTAATCAGAACAGAAGAATTCAGGCAGGACTGACCTGATTATAAACGGACATCGTCAGGGCAAAAATAAATATCAGCTTTGAGGGGTACGTATGCGGGTCGGACAGGACTGGCTTGCATGTGGTAGTGTATACGGCATTCAGTACGGACATTGTCAGGGCAGAATTGATACACCGGATGAGATTATTCGCGTCAAAGCGGACAGACGAGAGGTACCCAGACGCGATCGGCCACAGTCCGCTTCGAGTCCAGCCGAGGAGTGGGCAAGGGAGGTACGACCAAACTACTAGTAGATGGCGAATACTGAGGGTTCCGCCGTGAGCGTCGACAGAACGCTTGAGGTCGAAATGAGGGAGATGACATAAAGAACCACGAAAATCGTCGCTATGACGAAGGAGTGATAGCAGAGGATTTAGAAACCAATTCAAAACCGGGTTTGTAAAGATATGATTGAGGGTCTCCACATGATCTACCACTAAACCCCAGTAGGACCCGTCTCGAAGTCAAGAAGCTGAATGTTCGGGAATGAGACCATTAAAGGTGCCTTTATGCTTTCCGGATATCAGTACCCTCTCCGTTAAACTACCCCCTTTTACACCGAGCAACCCCCGGGTTTGCTTCCGTCAGATTGAGGCGGTTTTCTCAACGAGCCGCATTACTAGCGAACACACACTATACTCTTACCTGGTGCAGAGTCTTCCCTTCGACGTCACTGTCGATGTCGACGACCTCCTCAATCCCATTCCTGCAACGACCCGTACACTCAGTTGAAGAATGCCGTCATCCAGAGAGTGGCTAAGTCGGCCAATCGGATGCTGCGGGAGTTATTCACGCAGGTAGGATCGGGTGATCAAACTCCTTCGCAGTTTATGCTCCACATGCGTTCATTGCTGGCTGATCGTCATATGGACGACGCCATATTTCGACAAATATGGTTAGATAAATTGCCGGTTCACATGGAGCAGGTTTTGGCCATGCTGGACATTAGCATCTCTCTAGACAAAATGGCCAATCATGCCGACATGTTCAGTGAATGCTACCCAATCGGCGCGACATGCGCCAATATTTAACTGACCTCGACTCCCGGCAGATCTGATAGAGTAGACATTTCCTGTCCCGAAGGCGCTCATTCACTAGAACGAGACACTTCTTGTTGGAGCGTTCAGTCTGTCGTTGCTCATCAGGCAGAGTCACCACGCCATCAGGTCCCTCAGACAGCCAAGCAGTCCTCACAGAGTCGACTATGACGAACTAAAAGACCCTCTACGTCTTTTGTGCACACAAGTGAGCACCATGTGCACTGTTATAAATAGCTTACAGTCGGCCAGAAACCGGTCACTCTCGCGCCGTCGTTCGAAATCTCGTGGACGCCCCTCTACAACTCTGTGGTGGTATCACCGTATTTACGGTCCGAAGGTACGCAAGTGCATTCCTCCCTGCACATACCTGCAGGCCTCACCACAGGGAAACGACCGCGCCAGCCAGTAACGGCGACAGGTGCCGCTGGCCAGTCACGACCCAGTCGCCTCTTTTTTATCAGTGACAAATTGAGCGGCTTCCGTTTCCTTGTCGATACTGGTGCCGAGATCAGTGCCATCCCGCCTTCAAGGTGCCACCATCTCAAGCCTTCACAGTTTTCATTGCAGGCTGTCAAAAGCACTACCATCAACACTTACGGCCAACGGTCGCTTACTCTTGACATCGGTCTTCGGCGACGTTTCCAGAGGGTCTTTGTGCAGGCCGACGTTAAAGCTCCAATTATGTGGGCAGATTTCCTGACACATTTGGCTTTGCAGTCGACCTCAAGCATCGCAAACTTGTCGATACCACAACTACACTCTTTACCGTAGGGATTGCTGCTTCTGAACCCTCGGTTAGCATCCAATTGACCGTACGAAGTTCACCCTTCGCTGACATTTTGAAGCACTATTCGTCTCTCACTAAGCCCTGTCAATTCACCGGGGAGGTTCAGCATACGGTTAAACACCATATAATCACTACGGGGCAATCTGTTTACGCTCATCCTCGCCGTCTTCACCCCGAAAAACTTCGGATGACAAGGAAAGGATTTGGGCATATGATGAATCTTGCAATTATTCGTCCTTCCTCCAGCCCACGGGCTTCTCCTCTCCACATGGTGCCCAACAAATCGGCTGATGTTTGGAGACCATGCGGCAGCTCTCGCGCTCTCAACAGAGCCACTGTTCCCGAACGATACCCTATTCCCCATATGCATGATTTTTCTCACACGCTAGCTGGACAAACTATTATTTCCTACATAGACCTCGTGAGAGCATACCACCAGTTTCCGGTCGAGGAAGAAGACATCCCTAGGACAGCCGTCACAACGTCTTTCGGCCTGTTAGAATTCCTTCGCATGCCTTTTGGTTTGCGCAGCGCGGCCCAATCCTTCCAGCCTTTCATTGATGAGGTCTTTCGAGGTCTCTCATTCACTTATGTCTACATAGACGACATACTCGTCGCAAGTTCTTCGGCAGAGGAACATGCCTCGTATTTACGTCAGATATTCCAACGTTTCCAACAACATGGTCTGCAATTAGACGTTGACAAATGTATCTTTGGCGCCTCCTCCCTAGATTTCCTTGGTCACCGCGTCCACCGACATGGAATCACAGCGCTGCTAGAGAAGGTGCCCAGCACCCTGACCTTCTGCAGTCTAAAGAAAAGCCGATCGAACTTCCTCCAGCAGCTCACTCAGCCTTTGAGGCAGCTAAGAAAGCTCTTGCTGATGCCACTTTGCTTCACCATTTCAGCCCCGATCCTCACGCACAGCTGATCTTGACCACTGACGCTTCCAACAGTGCTGTCGGCGCAGCCCTGCATCAACAGGTGAATAACCAGTTGCAGCCATTGGCTTTCTTTTCACAGAAGCTACAATCGGCGCAGACTCTCTACAGTACTTTCTCTCGCGAGCTTCTTGCCATCTTCTTGGCCATTCGTCATTTTCGACACCTCAGAGAGCTCAGAGATTTTTCGTCCACATCAACCACAAACCTCTCACCTACGTCCTCAAGGCCACTCCAGATCGGTACTCGCCCAGGGAAATTCTTCGTGTGGACTATGCATCGCAGTTAACTGCAGATTTCCGCTACGTCCGAGGCAGCGACAATGTCGTTGCTCATGCATTATCCCGTCCGAACATCAACACACTTACATCCGATTTCGATTTGGCGAAGCTTGCAGACCTCCAATCAGGCAACAAGTCCACTGACGACCTGCGTTCTACTACTTCTTTGCAACTTCGAGATGCACCACCTTCCGCATCACCAGGTACGATTTTGTGCGACTGGTCCACAGGCACTCCTCGACCTGTTGTTCCACTATCCTACCGCAAGTCAGTATTTGATCATTTCCATTCCCTGTCACATCCGGGCATCCGTGCCTCTCGTAAGCTAATCGCCGCTCGTTTTTTCTGGCCGAATATGAACTCTGACATCGCTCTTTGGACTAGGCAGTGTTTAGCCTGCCAGAAAAATAAAGTACACCGCCACACATTTTCTCCAACAAGTACATTCGCCGTTCCAGATGTTCGATTCCACCACGTCCACTTGGATTTAGTTGGTCCGCTACCCCCTTCACAGGGGTACACGCATATTCTAACAGCGGTTGACCGTTTCAAACGATGGTCGATTGCCGTTCCCATCTCGGATACCCCGGCAGAAAATATCGTCATGGTTTTTCTGACGCACTGGATTTCAACTGTTGGTGTTCCGGCCACCCTTACCACTGACTGCGGGAGTCAATTCCAATCTGGGCTCTTCCGTGAGTTCACTAAACTGCTCGGGTGTGCGCACATCACAGCTACGGCATACCACCCTGCCTCCAACGGCCTCGTGCAGTGTCTACACCATAAACTCAAGTCCGCACTGATGTCCCAAACAGAATCAGCTTCTTGGAGTGACAATCTTTCTCTTGCGCTTATGGGCATCCGATCTTCTGTCAAGGAGGACATCCAATGCACTGCCGCCGAACTTGTGTATGGTACACCCCTCCGTCTGCCCGACGAATTTGTGCGGTCTTCCACGACGAACATCAACATTCCAAGAACCTTCGTACAGCAGTTGAAACAACGCATGGCTCAACTGCGTCCAACCCCCACTCGTCTGACATCCAAACGTGTGTTTGTGCATGAGGACCTTAAATCTGTTCCGTTCGTTTTCGTCCGGCATGCCACGGTTCGCAAGTTTCTTTGTTCCCTCTGTGATGGCCCATATAAGGTTCTTCAGCGGATGGACAAATAATACGTCATTCAGAAGGCTGACAAAACTGACACAGTTTCCATTGACAGACTTAAGCCAGCCTATCTTTAGTGCATCCCGCTGTCAGCTGTTCCCCCCACTTCCTTTACATCGTCCTCGTCCGATCCGCCCGTTTCCGTCCCCTCTACTCAACCGCCACACTCGACCACCCAACCCACCCATCCTGATTCTCCTTCCACTGCACCACGCACCTCATCTCGTTCTGGTAGACATATCCATTTTTCTGTCAACCTCAAAGACTTTTTGGTGTGACTTTTTGCATTTTTTATCGAGCGTTTTTTGTACAACAAACGCTCTGGTGGTGAAGTTGTGTAGGTTTATTTACATTTTCGATTTTTCACTCTAAACTTTCTTGTACACCTGAACGTTTCTGTACGGTTATTTAAATTAGCTAAAATACACACACTTGGTTTCGGCTTGAGAAAAAGCGTGAATTTTGTGTCCTTCTGCTGTTTGGTGTCATTGTTTTGTTGGTTCCACTCATTCGCTTCAATCACTTTTAGTCGCTCGACACGAAACTTTTATATCCTTTGGCCATATTTAACTGGACGTAAATCCACCTGAGCGACCAGCCTCATTAACTGACTCCGTCTCGGGATTTTATCCAGAATACTCACCCAACGGCCAACGATTCCGGAGAAGGCTTTATTTTCCGTGAGTCTGTACTATTATTTACCTTTTGTCGTTTTTCTTTTGCTCTTTTCGCTATCGTTATTTTTCTTTTAAGAAACGCAGCACCCCCCACTAAGAGTTAAGCATTTATTATTCTTTATAGTTTAGTTGCTGTTTACACTACATCTTCAATCCAATTCAGCAGGTTCCCCTTTATCCCCGACTCTCGGACCTAGTGGAGTAACCGGCGGTGTGGAAAATTATCAAAGGCTTTCATGGAATCGATGTCAACAACATCGACACTTGTTCCTTCCTATTACTAGCGAAACCATTGTTCCACCGAATATAGTACGTTTGTTAAGCAGGTGTTATTTTTTCGAAGGCCATGTTGAGAACAATCAAGGAAATTCCTTTTTTCAAGGAACTTCATAATGGTTTTTTCGACTCTTCTGTCCATAACTTTGCAACAAGTTCAGTTTAGGCTCACCGACCGATAATTCTTTGTACTTGTTCTGGACCCACCCTTGTGTATGGGATATATATTCTCCACCCTCCAATCAGAGGGGAGAATGCCTCGGTCAAATGACAAATGCAAAATGGGCGAAAGCGGTCTGGAGATTTCACAAGCCAGCTTCTTCAGAACTTTTGCCGATATTTGGTCTGGACCCGGAGACTTGCACTCCATAAGCGCTAGAATTTCCTTCCTCACATTTTCTTCCCATTATTTCCATTGCTTTCCATTATTTCGTCAGTCTTTATGATAGGCAATCCAGCCTCGTAAACGTCCTTTTCATCGGTGAAAATAATTGCGAAAAGCGGTTTAGGTGTTCTGCGTCATTTGCGGTAATATCCTCATTGTTTTTTCTTTTCAACACTGAGATCGTCTCCTTATTCTTTAGCCTGTCGTTGATGCAGCTGAAAATTTTTTTGGCTTATCAACGGCCCGTCCCATAAATCCCGTTTCGTAGTCCTTTCGCGACCTACGGATATTTGGCCTTACCTCATTTCGTTTTCGGCAAAACTGCTCAAAAAGCTTGGGTTGTTTTGTTGTTGTATACCTTCTCCAAAGTTTACTCTTCGGGTTTACCTCTTTCTTTATATCTAGCGTTAACCAGACAGGACTATTTGTCTTTTGGACTCTATATCTTGGAAAGTTTCGATGCATTACGTCGCTTATGTCTCCTTTGGAATTGCTCCCGTCCGCAGCTGGATGTCCGGCAAAAACGTCATTCCGTTTCACTATCGATAATCCACTGCTAATCGCAGCAAAACTTTCTTGTCAGAAATTCGGCCGAGACTCAGTCATCTCTATTTTTTTGGCCGTATAGACGGTACTCCCAAAACAGCATGACATGGTCACTCTTACCGAGCGGCGCTATGGCCCTAAATTTGCCATGACTATTCAGGTCTTTTGTAAAAACGAGATCCAGAAAATTTGCTCTATGGGCCTCTGATTCTGGTTGGAAGCGTGACATTCTGCATGAGAAAAAGATTAGTCGTTAGCCTAAAGAGCCTGGAATCAAAGGAATTGTTTCGAAACATTTACTAATAAATTGTTCCAATTGACCGTCGATGCGTTAAGGTCTCGGTTATCTGTCCCTCATGGTTTTGTTTCACCTCCTTCATTAACCAAAAACTCGCCTCGTCAGTCTCAGGAGTTTTATTGGGCGGCCTGTATACGGTTAGGAATCTCAGATTAGGTACGCCACTCATTCTTAATTTAACAACAGTGATTCACAGTCGCGGGAGCAATCAGTTTTGTGTTCTGACACGATGATTCCTCGCTCGTCGTAGATCGTTAGTCCCCCTCCTTTTTATGCAGCCTGTCTCGACGAAGAAGTTGGCATTAATCGAGTACAAATTCGGCATCTAAGACTTTAGCGTGTAAAAAGGTCTCTGTGATGAAAATGACATCCGGGTGTCTGCCTGATGCCCACGCTTTCAGGTCATCTAGTTTCTGGAACAAGCTCTGAGAATTTGAATAAAGAAAGCGGAGTTTAATCCGGGCAGATTTCCCGACGATTTTTTGGTCAAAGATGTTAGATATTTCGTGTGAGTTTTTGAGTCCATCGTTGCCTTTCGAGTCTACTACTGTTGACCGTCATTTTGTCTGATCGGTTTGACCAACAGGAGCGCTCTTTTTATAATCTGGTTGTTCACGATACACGATTTTATTGGCTGTTTCCAGAGGAATGGGCCCTAAACATTTATGATTTCCCCATTCAACATTCTTAGGTTTTTCTCACCGGAATTAGGTCTTCTGAGGAATTCGGCCTTGATTTCCCTCCATTTCTCCTGTTCGGTCAGCGAGAAATTCCGCCGAAAAATTGTTAGGTGGACGTCTCACAGTGCTGGCTTTCTGTTCAGCAGTAGCAGGGCTTGTTCCTTATTTCGGAGAACAATTTTAAATGGGATCTGATATCTTGTCTCGTCCTTTGAATCCGTAATTTGTTCTATACTGAAAGCATTTGAGACGGTGATGATCTTGTTTTCTTGTAATAGGGATTTGAGGTATTGCTGGAATAATTCAATATCGCGGTTTATTCTGTACTTTGGAATGTCCGAAGTAGACTCATGCATACCATTTACGACATTGCATCTACTGAGACCTAGTTTAGGGTCCTGTCATTTATTTTTCCACACAGAGTCTGCATCGCGCCAATTTCTGTTGTCATCCTTTTCTAATTTAGAGACAGTTGTCACGGCATAGCTCCCGCAGGGTTCCTCGTCTATCGGGGCTTCTTGGTTATGTGGTACCGCTTTTGGCAGTAAGACATTTGCCTGCATTATGTGTGGACTCCGCTCTCTCATTCTGATAATATGACCTACTTGGTCTCTTCGGGGTGTTCCGAGACGCTTATTCGCTTTCTGAGATCCTTTTGGTCGTTCTTCTCTTGCACATGAGATGGGTTCTCGGTTGTGATTAGGTCCGTAGACGGGCTGTCTTTTTCCTCAGGGGTACATACATTAACTAAGGTCGTAGTGGCACTTTTATTGTTATCGTTTGAATTTCTGAAATCGCAGACTTCTTCCTTTCGGGTGAATGGTGAAGCAGTTTTATCAAATTCGCCATCTCATTTCTTGGGTTCCTTATCTCCTTCTGCATCTCAAAGAATTTTTAAAGAAGTCCAAAACATGCCGCACATTTTCCTCCTCGATTTGACATCCAGCAAAGTTATCAAATTGGTTGCGCACCTAGCGGGAGGTGACTTGACAGCAGGAAACTTAGCGCAGTAATAGGATCGAGCCCGGCTTGAGGCGGACATTTGCACAATGTCTAGAGGGCACTTGATCGACGGCCATTATTAAGTGAATTAATTTGGAACGTTTTTAACTTTATGGAAGTTTTTAGGCCAGACCAACGGTATGAAGAAAGTAGCAAACGACTGAGCCGTTCTTTGATTTGGGGAACCTCACGGTGCTGATGTCAGAGACATGGTGGGAATGACATAGGTTTTTCTAACGAAAGTCCGCTTCCAGTAATGTGAGAATCGTTGTATGCCCCTGATAACAATTCTGTCCAGAATCTGCGCAGACGGTTAGACAAATCTACGCACAATCTGCGTAGACATTGTCCCACGTAATCTGCGCAGAATCTGCGCAGACAAATCTAATTTCGTTTTTTAAACCAGACAGAACCCCCACTTCCTTTTATTTACAAATAGCCCATACCCCAACCCTCATCTGTTTTCGCCCCCCCCCATCCCCTATCACTCAACTGTTGGTTTCCCTTAAGCAAGACATAAGGAAATATGGTATGTTTTTAAAAAAATGCTATATATGGGAAAGAATTATTAAAAGTATTATTCTCTAAAAAAGCAAAAGGAAACGTCGAAAAAGATGTAAAAAATAGAGGAATCAATCTAATAAGTACAATTGGCCCAATTTAGGGTTGTGTTGAGGTACCGGCCGGCCCAGGGGATGACTGGTTTCTATCTTCGTCTGAAATCAAAGTAGACAATATTAACTGCAATGTCAATTGAAACACTGAATGTCAACAGAATTTTGGTGAAGAAACACGAATTAAGGGATAAAGCGTTAGAAAGACATCACTAACCGTCCGGACATTGTGAGGATGATAGCCTGTTGGGGGCTAAGCTGTGTGAGGGGGTGATCTGAGCGCCACCATAATCGGAGATAATCCCATGTTTGAAGGAAGAGAGACAAAAGGCACCAGAATAAGGGGGTTTATTGTGCTCAGAACCCGGAGTTGTCCTCTCAGGGGGCAGTGGCCACTGGCAAAGCCAGGGCTCGTGTTGACTGCGTCCAGTCATGCCTGAGAGTCCCTGAGATAGTGGTGGCAACCGCATTTGTAGGCTCGTGGGCCATGCTCAAGTGGTCTCCAATCGGTGTGCGTTGCATTTGCAGAG